AAGAAATCTTTCACCGTAAAAAATCTAAATTCTGCCCTCGCTTTTTTTCATCTTTACATACTTTAAAAACTGCATCACATTTATTTGGTATAACACTAAAATAGAAATTGTAAATGGGCTTCGTTAAGGATGCAAAGAACAATAAGTGGTTCGAGTGCCACCAGACATTTAAACAAATGGAAAAATGGAAAAAGGATTTGATTTTGTCTATAACTTAAAGTATCAAGACAAGTTTTTTTTTTTTTTTTTTTTTGTAGGATTAATCATTCAGAGTGTCTTTAATAATTCATTGAAAAGATTTCATTCAAAATCTAAAATTTTTCATTCAAAATCCATTTATCCATAAATCACACAACTATGTTTTTTTTTTTTTAAACAGATAAATAATTTAAATGGGTTTTGTGATTTAAATTTAAATTAGATTTTAATCAAACAACTGATTTGCTAACAAATCAGACAAAAACTGAACTATTTATTTTTGGTAACACTTTTACTCTTTTCTCCCCATAGACTTCCATTCATATGCACGCGAACGCATCAGACCGGAAACACAAGCTTATACAACAAGTTTTGCAGTTTGCTGCATTGGAAAGTTCAAGCTTGGTGAATTCTGACCTGCGAATTCACATCACATGGTCGCGTGAGACCAATCAAGGATTAAAATGCCACTTTTCGCAGGGCCGTACAACAAAATTTCCTCCGCACAAACTTTAGTGTGACCGCAGCATAATGGTCCATTAGTAAATGCTATTTATTGTGTATAGCTAACATTATCTTAGTATGAATGCTCTTGTAAAGCATTTATTGATCACAGTAAACATTAACTAATGCATTATTAAAATCTAAAGTTGTGCTTGTTAACATTAGTTAATGCACTGAGTTAACATAAACTAATATTGTTTAATCTAACTAACATTAACAAACATGAATTAATACTGTAATAATTGTGTAACGAATAGTTTATTCATGTTAGTTAAAAACAGTAATTTATATTAACTAATGGACTGTTGTTTTAAAGTGTTATCTGATTTTTTTTCCCACGAATAAGACAAATTAATCACATTCATGTTCTGATTTACCACAAATGTATATCAGACATGAATCATCATGAAAGCGCCAATGACATATAGCCAATATTTTCACGAAAAATAAACTAGGACACACTTTTCAGCCTTGTGTGAGTTTAGAAATCTTTATATGAGTTGCACATGACATATGAACGACAGTATAATAAATTCCTAATGCATTTATGTACATTTTTATTGGTAAAGTTTTGTTCCTTGCCACGGTCACCACTGGTTTGCTTGGTTTGGGACTTGTGGAGCTGTGCGTCAATATATTTACTCTTCAGTGTTTGGACTTCCAGCAGTGAAATTTAAACCACACTGAACTGAATTAAACTGAACTTCAACTCTGAACACATAAATTGAATTGAATTAAATTTTAAGTGATTGTAAATTTGTGGGAATTAGTGAATCTTCAAATAATAATAATAATAATAATAATTTAAAAACCAAATGTGAAAATATGTCTATTCTGATTGATAGTGTGTATTACTGTTCCACTGTTTCCGCCTATAAGCATTATTCCATTCAGCTGTCAACCATCGGACAGCCGCAAGGGTGTATTTTAAAGCATGCTACCAAAGCAGCGCTCATGGCATAAATATTAGGGTGAAGCACACGCAGTATTAAATTCATACAGGTCAGCTTCGTACATTAATCCTGTCCAGTCAGACTCCCCCACCAGTTCAGACATCACAAGGAGCACTGAAGGACCTCAAGGCCACGTCCATGTGAGCGTGCTTGTGAATGCGTCCAGGAACGTTATACCAGCCCACCTTCGGATCGGAAGATTCCCTGCAGGCGTTGTTGAAGGCCCATCCTGCCCTTTTATTTTCCAGTTCAGGGCCTTCTTTTTTTGCAGATAAATGCTCTCCGATGTAACGTGACAGATGTCACAATGCATCGCCTCTATTTTGATACATACCCTCTGATCCTGCCACAAACGATAAAGAGCGTGTACGGGGCCCAGACAACATGCTGACACTCGTGATTATTTTAGAGCGCATCACAACTGCGGCGAGCCGGCCAGGTTCCTGAGTAGATGAGGGAATATCAATACGTGCGGGTCAGAGTCACCGAGACTAAGAGATTCTCAATAGACACATCCATCCCAATGACATATATTCAAAAAGATCAATGCGCTGATAAAGTTGTATAGTTGGCTTGGAGTCGGCCTCATGTCCCTTTTTGCACCTGACATTCACCGGGATTTGTTTATATTTAAACCCAATGTGTACCTTGATGTTTAACCGACTTCAAATTGGCATAAGATCAAAAAACACATGCTAATCGATTTGGGTCCATACACAATTCTATTTTTGTACCCCATCCTCTTTCCCATTGAAACTGAGTGTAAAGAGGAAGGGCTTCAAAATTTACCCCTAAGAAATGGGACAGCTCTACAACCCCTGCACGCGTCATCAAATGTCATCAAACTTTGAAAACACACAGTTATTTATTTACACCTTACTACTGTACATATGAGATTGACGATCACGACTGCTGTAGTTACTCCAGTTGCATTTTTTTTTGTATTTATCTTCAGGAAATCACCGAAGTCTTCAAAATCATGTTATTACGCCGTTATGAGTGTGTTAAGACATATGCTTGTTTGTTGTAGAAATTTGTAATAATGACCAAAAATATTAGGGTGCATAGGGAATTGATGGAAATTAAAAGGTAAAAAAAAAAAAAGAAAAAATGCCAAATGAAATTTTAATGATTAAATTATATATATTGAAAAAGATTTAATAAACAACCAAACATTTTGAGATAAAAAATATATAATTCTGAAGTACAAGTATAACTGTATATATTTATTCATCGTATATTCATTTAATCAAATATTTATTACATTTTAGCTACATTTAAATGTCACTAAATATGATTTTGAAATGTATTTGACACTAGCTAAATCGTCATATAATATATAATTGTCATATTTGACTGAATATAATAACAGAATATATATATGTGTGTGTATATTCCCAAATGATGTTTAACAGAGCAAGAAAATTTTCACAGTATGTCTGATAGTATTTTTTCTTCTGGAGAAAGTCTTATTTGTTTTATTTTGGCTAGAGTAAAAGCAGTTTTAATAAAAAAAAAAAAAAACTATTTTAAGGTCAAAATTATTAACCCCTTTAAGCTATATCTTTTTTGCTAGTCTACAGAACAAACCATCGTTATACAATAACTTGCCTAATTACCCTAACCTGCCTAGTTAACCTAATTAATCTAGTTAAGCCTTTAAATGTCACTTAAAGCTGTAAAGAAGTGTCTTAAAAAAATATCTAGTAAAATATTATTTACTGTCATCATGACAAAAATAAAAGGAATCAGTTATTAGAAATTAGTTATTAAAACTATATGTGTGTGTGTGTGTGTGTGTGTGTGTGTGTGTGTGTGTGTGTGTGTGTGTGTGTGTGTGTGTGTGTGTGTGTGTGTGTGTGTGTGTGAGTGCGTATGTACAGCAAAAAAAAAAAAATGCCTGAGAATTTCTTTGATTTTCACTGTTTTATTTTATTATTGAAACTAACACCATAAAAGTATGATCTTTATTTCCCTTTTACTTTTTAAAAGTGATGGAGGTACACTTTCTTAGCATCAAATAAAATGAAACCAAAAAGCTTCTTAGATAACATTAAATGTATTATTGTAGTATTTAAACAATCAGAAAGAAAAGAACAATTTTGTTTTATATGGAACTTAGTTTCAATCAACTTTCAAGTATTTTTTATTAATAATGTGACAGGGCTTAATTACATTTAACGATTTCTTAAAACATGAATTTTCCACTACCGAGTGAGGTCTTATATTCTCATGTACCGATCGCCTCGGTGATGTGTTTTGCACTGTTCAAATCTGTAGTAAGAGCCTGTCTGAATACCACAGGAATAGCTGTTCGTAGTGTGCCTCATTTTAGTTTTATTCTTTTCCTAGTTATTGACACACTGGCGTGATGTTGACATGTATGACTGGTACGTCATTTGGGATGCCTTGTTGAACATAGCTACACTGAAAACATTATAATTTATGCACTTTATTCTCCTTTATCTTTTCAGATATTAGTCTGAATCGTTTGGTTTTGTAATGCATACCAAACCGAAAGCCTCGCACCGAATGGTTCAATACGAATACGCGTATTGTATGTATATATATATACATACACACACACACACACACACACACACACACACACACACACACGCACACACATTTTTTTCAGATTTAGATTAGATTAATTATAACAACACTGTGTCGACCTGACCATAAACTAAGCAAATTCACTTTTGATAAAAATTCAGGGTTTTTCTTTTTAATAGCGAAATTGCCCTGTAAATGAATGAAAAGATTTATTCAGATTTCCTACTGTGATTTATTTACACGAGATGTCCTTGGCCAGTATCTCCAGGCATAGAGCTCTTTATAATTTCATGTTAACATTCAAGATTTCAGCTCGAAGAAAGCATTATCTATAAACACAACCAATTAGCACAGACTAAACACAAAAGCCGATGACAGCATCTCACGTTGCTTTGGTTTTCAGGTCAACCGTAGCTTTAGTCTCAGCCTATCTCCACCCTCCAGAGTTTGGTAGAAACTCTGTCCGCTTCTTCCCATTAAAGCAGGCCTCTAAGCAGGACAGCTTAGCGCTATCACCTCAGGCCTACCCTACCATTTCCAACACGGGGTTGAACCCAATTATCCCCCAAATTAAAATGAACAGACTTGGCACGGGGAACAATTACTGCTGCGACTCCATTCCGCAAGCTAAATGGGCCAAGCAAAAGCAGTCCCTGTTTGCCGGTCCTGGCCGAGGCCCAAAAGTCTGAGTGCTATTTGGGCTGTGCTTACAATAGTAATGTATGCGGGTAATGGCTAGGTTAGGGGTGACGCCAGTCGTTTGATTCGTGCTGTTTTTCTTTGCTTCAGAAGACAGGAAGCTGTTCGTCGGAATGCTGAACAAACAGCAGACGGAGGAGGACGTGTACCGTCTTTTTGAGCCCTACGGAGTCATCGAGGAGTGCACTGTGCTTAGAGGTCCCGACGGAAATAGCAAAGGTGGGTTACGCCACCTTTTATGGCATGATGATATATTAATAGTCAATATGTCAAAAGGAACACTGTTATGTTGACTGAGGATGTGTTTATTTGATGAAATAATTCGTGCAATCTAAGGAGGGATTCCCTTGACTCCATTTTCAACCAAAAACAAACAAAATAAGTTGTTTATTCACACAACAACAGCGTATTTGGCAGACCTGAAAACAAACTTTTTAATGATTATATATATATATATATATATATATATATATATATATATATATATATATATATATATATTTTTTTTTTTTTTTTTACTGTATTTTTATCAAATAAATGTAGCCTTGGGGAGCAGAAGACATTTCTTCCAATTATATTAACAAAAAAATAAATAAACAAACAAATCAACAAAGAGATAAATACTATAAAATGTTACCTGAAGTGGGTGTTTATTAGACTGTCATGAAACCTTTCTTTTAATAGAAGGGTGCTGAATATCAAAGTTGAGGATCCACATACAGTTTATTAAACAGACAATGGTCAACCAGGCAATGGTCAAAACAGGGGCAAACAAAAGCATACAGGTAATCAAAAAAATATGTATGTCATATTTAACTGTATATATTTCGATATATTCAATGTATGGTGAAATCATTGGAAACAATAAAAAAGGCAAAGGGTCAAAAATACGGCTTCACAGGGCATGACAAGACAAAAAAAAAAAACACTTTGTGGTGTTACAATAACAAAACACAAAGAAGTGTGTGTGTGTGTGCTGAGTTTATAGTCCTGGTAATCAGCCAGAATAAGTTTCATCTGAATGTATGTCTTTATGAGTGTGATTGATGAGTGTGATTATTGTCAGCTGTAGGGATTGTAGATTGGCGCAAGGCATTATGGTAGTTGTAGTTCGTGTGGTGGCAGATGTGTAGTTCTCCAGCGATCTGCATAGGATTGCTAGTGATCGTGACGCATGAATGTGAATGAGCTTTTAAGTTTGCTTATGACAACTGTCATTGAGTGTCATTCACACAGTTATATTATTTTAAATGCAAAAGTGACATTGTGTGAGATGTCTATGTTATAACAACTTTTCAACATGACTGGTCATAAATCTGTATCTGTCATAAACATGATTGTCAAGAGGCCATTATAATTGTGTCATGATTTTTTTTCAAAAGTGTCATTAATATTTTTTTTTCTTGACCATAACTGTTGTGGAAACTGAAATGTCAGTAAATATTAATGATGCTGTTATAAAATTATTTAACACTTTAAGTATGGATATTTTAATGAGAAATTTTATTGACAAATTCAGTTTTTTTTAATAGCATCATGACATTCATGTTTATTACAGATTTATGCCCAGTTATGTTATCTTGGAAAAGTCATGTTGTCACAGCAACGACATCTCCAACAATGTCTTCTTTGCACTTAAAATCACAAAACTGAGCGAATGTCACTTAATGAAAGTTGTCATAAGCACACATGAAATCTCCCTCATATTCATGACTTGCACCATATCATGATTATACACTTATGAACACTCCCTGTTCTGTATTTTCTGAAAAAAAAAAAAAAATTCAAGAAAAGAAACACCAATGAGTCACATGATTCGTAAGCCATATCTTATAAGTCCTTATAATATATAGCTACCAGTAACATGTTACAATGCTAGAAACAAAAACATGGAATTGAGTTCCTCTCACTCCACAACTAATCCTTTAAATATAAATTTTTAGTACATGAGAATTTTGACAAAACAGCACTTAATATTTTAAATGAATATTAGGTCTAAAACATTTTTATGTGAAACTGTGGGAAACGCACTATAAAAATAGCTGCATGCACTCCATGTTACAACTATAAATTAACTGCTTATTCGTTAATTCTAAATGTTTCTTCGCCTTTAAAATTAAAATCTTCATTTATTTATTTATTTATTTATTTATTTATTTATTCATTCATCTTTTTTCAGAAAATAACAATTGGTTAAAATTACAAATGTTTTCATTTCTTGATATGGGAAATCAGAATTATTCCACCAAATATTTATTTCTCAATTCTTCTAATAAAACAACCAAACAAACAAAAAACATTGTTATTGTGTTGTCTAAAAATAAATATACACTCACCGGCCACTTTATTAGGTACACCTGTCCAACTGGTCGTTAACAAATTTGTAATCAGCCAATCACGTGGCCGCAATTCAATGCATTTAGGCATGTAGACATGGTCAAGGCGGTCTGCTGCAGTTCAAGCCGAGCATCAGGATGGCAAAGAAACGTGATTTAAGTGACTTTGAACATGGCATGGTTGTTGATGCCAGTTGGGCTGGTCTGAGTATTTCAGAAACTAATGATCTACTGGGATTTTCAAGCACAACCATCCCTAGTGTTTACAGAGAATGGTCAGAAAAAGAGAAAATATTTAGTGAGCTGCAGCTCTGTGGGTGCAAATGCCTTGATGCCAGAGGTCAGAGAAGAAGGTGTGGGATTTGTGATGGTGTAATGATTCTTGAACATGACAATGATTTCACTGTACTCAAAGGCCTCCACAGTCACTAGATCTCAATCCAATAGAGCATTTTTAAAATGTGGTGGAATGAGAGATTCGCATCATGGATGTGCAGCTGACAAATCTGCAGCAACTGTGTGATGCTATCTTGTCAAAATGGGCCAAAACCTCTGAGGAATTTTCCAGTACCTTGTTGAATCTATGCTACGAAGGATTAGGCAGTTCTGAAGGCAAAAGGGGGTCCAACCCGCTAGTAGTAAAATGTACTTAATAAAGTGGCCGGTTAGTGTATATGTCTAAATATATAAATATATGTCTAAAAACATGGCACCTTTTTAACATTTTAAGCTTTAAATGACAACATTTTTATTTTAAATTTAAAAGTAATGTAATCAGTAACACAAAATCTGACGCGCCTATAAATCATAAATCCAGAGAAGCTGAATATTTTATTTTTTTCAAAACATAACTATACGCAATCCTCAATCAATTTCTGGCAGACGAAATCAAGTTCCTCCCTCTATTATTCTTCTCTTTGTGTACTCTCCTAAATACTAAAACTTAGCGTTGACATTTCGCTCGGTCCAAAAACCAACAATTTGTCACTCATTGAACACAGAAGACTCTTCAGAGACGCAGAAAAAGCACACATCTGAGCGCTCAACTTTTTATAGACTCCATTGTTTGGCCAGCGAGGCCGCAGGGACAGTGGTAGACACTAATACAGCCTGGCATTTGGAAAAGCACAGTGGGAGTCGCCGTTCTTCCCTCGCCAGTCGCACACAAATTGCTGGAGGATTATTTCTGCTACTTAGGGGGGCCGATCGGTGAATATATCCAGTCTTATGGAACAGACCAAAGAAGATAGACGTCATAACAGTCACCGAATAACTGTTTCATTTACACTACTGGAAAAAAGGTTGTGATATTCTGCACTCAGTAAAAACTGTAAAATTGTTAAATAATATTAGAATTTAAAATGATTTTACCTCCTGAATATAGTTTACACTTTAAATTATTCCTGTGGTTTGGTTATTTACACTACTGGGATAAAGATTGTGACATTCTGCATATTCTGCATTCATTTGATTTAAAGTACAGTAAAAGCTGTAAAATTGGAAAATAATTTTTTAATTTTGAATAATTTTACCTGCTGAATTTAGTTTAAAATACAATTTATTCATGTGTATATATATATATATATATATATATATATATATATATATATATGTATACATAAAGCATATTCTGCATTTGTTTGACTGAAAATACAGTAAATATTGTACAATTGTGAAACTTATTAGAATTTAGAATAATTTTATTTGCTGAATATATTTTTACATTGAATTTATTCCTGTGGTTTAGTTATTTACACTACCGGTATAAAGGTTGGGATATTCTGCATTTATTTGATCAAAAATACAATAAAAGTTGTAACATTTTTTGATGATATTAGAATGTAAAATAATTTTATTTGCCAGATGTAGTTTGAAATGTCACTTATTACTGTTGTTTAGTCCTTCACATTACTAGGATAAAGGTTGTCATCAGAAATTTGGCATATTCTGCTTTTGTTTGATCAACAATACAGTAATTTTTTTTGAGGAATGTTGTTTACAATGTACTTATTTTTTCTGTGGTTTACTTATTTACACTACCAGGATAAAGGTTGCGATATTCTGCACATTTAGCATTTGTTTGATAAAAAATGCGGTAAAAAACAGTAAAATTTTGAAATATCAATAAAATTTAAAATTATTGCTTAATGTAGATTAAAAGTAGTTTAAATGTTTTCATCAGAAATGTAGCATATTTTGCTTTTTTTTAATCTAAAGTACAGTAAACGCTGCAACACTTTTTGACATTATTAGAATATAAAATAATTTACTTGCTGAATAGTTTAAAATGTTACTTATTAATGTGGCTAAGTCATGTATACCACCAGGATAAAGGTTGCCATCGAAAATTCTGCATATTCTGCATTTATTTGATAAAAAATAAAGTAAAAGCTGTAAAACTGGTAAATATTTTTAGAATTTTGAATAATTTTACTGGCTGAATTGATTTTTAAAATATACTTTATTCATGTGGTTTAGTCATTTACACTGCCAAAATGAAGGTTGTAATAATCTGCATGTTCTGCATTTATTTGATCAAAAGAAAAAAAAAGTACAGTAAAAGCTGTAAAATTGGTTAATATTTTTAGAATATTAAATAATTTAACTTGCTGAATTTAGTTCAAAATACATTTTTGTTGTGTGGTTTAGATACTTACACCGCAGGGATAAATGTTATGGTCAGAACTAAGTATATTAAAAAAGCATAAAAAAGTATATTCTACATTTATTTGATAAAAAAGCAGTAAAATTGTGGCATTTTTTTTAGAAAATAATTACTTTCTAAATATAATTTTACAATTTAATTTATTACTGTGGTTTGGTTACACTAATGGTATAACGGTTGTACTTCAGACACTCTGCATTAATTTGATGAAAAACAGTCAAATATTTTTTGAATATAAAAATAACTTTACTTTGACGATTTTATTTTAAAATACAGTTTATTCATGTGGTTTAGATGTTTACACCACAGGGATAAAGATAGTGGTCAGAAATATAAAATTTAGTATATTTTGCATTATTATATTTTGCACATCAAAAGTACAGTAAAATTGTTCAATATTATTTTATTTTAAAATCATTATACTTGCTGAATGTAGGTCAAATTGTCTGTAACTCCTGTGGTTTAGTCATTTACACTACCAGAATAAAATTTGTAAATTTGAAATTAACAAATTCTGGATTTAAAAATATTAAAATCAAAAATACAGTAAAACTGTAACATTGTGAGTTCAATTCTTTAATTTAACTTTTAAATCTTTTGCTTGCTGAATGTTGTTTACGATACTTTTTTAGTTACTTACACTAATAGGATAAAGGTTGTGATATTTTGCATATTCTGCATTTATTTGATAAAAATGCTGTAAAAAACATTAAAACTGTGAAATATAATTAGAATTTAAAATGATTTTACTTGCTACATTTAACATAAAAGTCATTTATTCCTGTGGTTTAGTCATTTACACTCCCAGGATAAAGATTTTTTCATCGGAAATGTGGCATATTCTGCATTTATTTGATCAAAAATACAGTAAAATTGTAAAAGAAAAAATAGTACAATTAAAATATTTTTGAAGAATGTTATTTAAAATTTAATTTATTCCTGTGGTTTAGTAATTTGCACTAAATAAAGATTGTAATTTTCAACATATTCTGCATTTATTTGATAAAAAATGGGGTAAAAAACTATAAAAATTGTAATTATCATCAGAAATTAAAATGAGTTTACTTGCTACATTGAATTAAAATGTAATTTATTCCTGAGGTTTAGTTATTTACACAATCTGGAGAAAGGTTGTGGTCATTTTTTTAAACAAGCATATTCTTCATTTATTTGATCAAAAAATACAGTAAAACTGTAAAAATTGTGAAAATGTATTTACATTTTTTATATATAATTTTACTAGCTGAATGTCATTTATTACAATTTACAATTTAATTTATTCCTATTTCGTCATTTATACTATACCGGGATAAAAGTTGTGGTCAGAAATGTAAAAAAAGAAAAAAAAAAGAAGCATATTATGCATTTATATGTTCAAAAACACTGCAAAAACTGTAAAATACTTAAAATTGTTCTTATGCAAAATGCATCTTCTTTCTGAGTTTAATTTGAAATGTCATTTACTCCTGGGGTTTAGCCATTTACACTACCACGATAAAGGTTTTAGTCAGGGGTTTTATAACAAAAAGTAGCATTTTCTGCATTTATTTGATCAAAAATACAGTAAAAGTTATGCAATTATTTCTGCATTTAAAATGATTTTACTTGCTGAATGTAGTGTAAAATGTTATTTATTCTGGCAGTTTAGTCATTTAATAAATATATCTTAAACATAAATGTTGTGATGAGGATGCATATATTTGATCAAAAATACAGTAAAAAAACTTTAAATGACTGTTCTTGCTGGATGTAGTTTAGAATGTTATTTAGTTTAGTCTTCATTGTGACATGTTACTCATTTATATAATAATCATTTGCTCAAGGAACATTTCAGTGTTGAAACTTAATAAAGTACCATTCAATAAGTACCATTCCCGTATTTACTTTGACTCAGCAAGAGCACATATAACTGCATGTAAAACATTTGTAATGTAAACACAATATATTTTATTCCAAATCAATGTTATTTTAACTTTCTTTAGAAATAAAAAAACAAAGTAAAAGGTTTCACGGTTTCCACATTCATGTGTACATTGCTATTTATTAGAATCATTTTTAAAGATTCAATACCAATAATAATCAATCATAACAAAACAGCAAATCAGCATACTAGAAAGATTCCCGATCACTTCCGATCACAAGATTTAGGAATCACTGAAGACTAGAGAAGATAAAAGAAATCAGTGTTGCATCATAAGAATAAAAAAAGACATCAAACAAGAAAACTGTTTTTTTAAACTGCAGTAAAATTTCAAAACTTTACTGTATAATAGAACAAAATAAATGCAATGTCAGTGAATTCTTTCTTAGTTCTTAAAAATTCAAATCTTAGTATATCTTAATATATATATATATATATAAGCCGCATTAACACAAACCCTTAATATTTTATCAGCTTCTTCAACGATTTGCAACCCGACTGCTCTCAAATCCCAAATGGCACGATGAATATCAGCAGCCGCGCTTAAAAATGTTATCAATTATCCTGTATTTAGTGTTTTTGTTTGCATAGATGGGCATGTGGCAGTAAATAGCCCGCTTTTTGAGTCTCTAGAGGAAAGGTTTGCTTACATTGGAGGGTTTTCTGTCTGTCTCTAGTGTTTTAATGTGCTTTTCTACACTGTGGTTAAAGGGTTTCTATGTGTGTGTGTGTGTGTGTGTGTGTGTGTGTGTGTGTTTTTCTCCATCAGGCTGTGCTTTTGTAAAGTTCTCCACACATGCTGAAGCTCAGTCCGCAATCAGCGCTCTGCACGGCAGTCAAACCATGCCTGTGAGTACACACTCCTCCACAACACACAAACACTCTAAAAAACAACAAAAACCCTCTTATTTTCTGGCCTATTTTCTTTCTTTGCTGTTCTTCTGACAGACGGCAGCTGCAGTGACTTTTATACATGTGTTTGAATTGCTTTTAGGGTCACTGCATTACTGGAAGGGTCATGCAAAAAGAAATCTTGTTTCTGGTTCATAGAAAATGCTGTCTTTGTGTTTCATTTTTAAAGTGTCAATCTGTTGACTTCAGCGAACAATTTCTACAGATATCATGACATTTATTAGGATTGATTGATTGATTGATTGATTGATTGATTGATTGATTGATTGATTGATTGGTTGATTGATTGATTGATTGGCATGACCTTTTTCAATCAGGTAATATTTATTATCCACTAAGTTAATTCAAAGCGTTCCTTTTTTGTATTAGGTATGTTTTTAAAACCATATACAGTATAACCTAATATTTTTATTATTACTTTAATATTTACACTATTACATAATATTTTACTATTATTGATTATAAATATTAATTTATAAAGGTCATTGCATAAAGAATAACACTTTATGACATTTTACAATCACTCAAAAAATTTTGTTGGACGTTCATTGAAACTTATTTAAAATGAGCTGAAATAACACAATTCTTGAGTTTTTTGAGGGGGAAACTCTTTGTTTTAAGTTTAATCCACTTAAATTAACATGAAGGAATTACTAGCTACTTAATTCCTTTATGTTGTCTCAACACAAATCAATTTTGTAAAACCATTTTTTTTACAGTGCACTAAAATAATGGTTTCTTGTCTTATAAAAGGTCATGATTTTAAATTTTGGTTGTTTAGATTTTATCATATTAGATTTTACCATTTTAGATTATATATATCGTTGAAATCTGAATTCATAAATTCCCTATAAAATTTCTTTTTAAAATATTTAAAATTTATTACAACTGGGTAGGTTAGGGTAATTAGGCAAGTTATTGTATAACAATCATTTGTTCTGTATACAATCGAAAAAATCTAGCTTAATGGGGCTCATAATTTTGTCCTTAAAATGGTGTTTAAAAAAAATCAAAAATGTTTTTATTTTAGCCGAAATGAAACAAATAAGAGAAAAAAAAAAGTTTTATCAGACATACTGTGAAAATTTCCTTGCTCTGTTAAACGTAATTTGCGAAATATTTAAAAAAGAAAAAAAAATTCAAAAGGGGGCTAAGAATTCTGAATTCAACTGTGTGTGTGTGTGTATATGTATACAAACATACACATATATATATATATATATATATATATATATATATATATATATATATATATATATATATATATATATATATATATATATATATATATATATACACACTTAAATTTCAGTCTAGGTAGCTTTGTAGTTGTAATGTTAAACTTTATAACTCGTATAACAATGACTGCCAAAGACTTTGCAGCTGAATGAAGGCAAACCAGGCAATTAAATCGATTCTGCGCAAACAAATAAGAAAAAAAAAATCAGTCACTTCAACTCTCAAACTGCATATTTGGCCATATTGTTTTGTTGAATAGCTGCATTGCCAGCATATCAGCACGTGGCCTTTGTCCGGCCGTCTCAATCTCGAGGACTGGACGCTGAGCCATAAAAAGCCAACTATTCAGCACAGTCTGTCTGAATCACACAGCCATTCAGTCACAAACCCATTGTTCGGCTTTCAGAAGTAGCTCACACACTGCTGTTTTATTTGCTAAAAGATGGTTTACTCCTGACAAAATGATGGACTGTCAAAATGCTTTTTAATATGTGCTTTTATCACAATAAAACTTTTTTAAAGAGGTTACAACAAAATATAATTCAGATGTGTTTTCTTTTTTCTATGCACTACCATGTGATCCCAAACCTGTATGACCTTATTTATTCTGTGAAACGCACATGGAGATATTTTGAAGAATGCTCTGCTTATTAAATGATCAGAAAATTGATAATGATCAGCTGAAATATGTTGGACCTAATAGGACTTTTATTTTGACAGAGATGCGAAAGAAGATTTTTTGAATTATACTTTCTAATTTAGCGAATATGTGAAACAATATACATTTACTTGCAGCAACTGTTTTGCATTCGTTCGTTACGTTAGCATCTTTTTTTTCTGTTTGGGCTGTTAACAATTGTGGATTTTTGTTTTGACAGTGCAAAGAACTCTCTCTATATATATTACTCCAGCAATCTCCAGCTAAACTCCAGGTCTACCAATACATCAGCCAATAATTTTATTTATTTATTTATTTTATTTTATTTATTTTTTGTTGAGAATGGCTGCTAAGATTTTGTATTTTGCCAGTGCTGGAGCCTGGACCTTTATTTTGAGAGTCCTGAGAATGCAGACTTTTCAATTTATTTATTTATTTATTTATTAAGAGGAATTTGAGCCTTGGTTGATTTTTTTTTCACATTCAAGGAACACAATTTTGCAAATAGGATAATTTTACAAGTCCCCGAGGGTTAAACAGTTTATACTCTCCAGGTCTGGTAGGCAGCACTTTTAGCTTAGCTTAGCATAAATCATTGAATCGGATTAGACCATTAGCATCTTTCTCCAAAATTTCCAAAAATGTTTTCATTTACTTTCCTGTTGCTGCTCGATTCATCTGCAGTTACATCATGTACTTAGACTGCCTAAAATAGAAAAATTGCTATTCTTTAGACTGCTATGGCTAAGAACTATACTCTCATTCCTGTATAATTAGAGTAATCTATGCTAAGATAGTGCTCACATCAGACCTGTAGAGTGATTAAAACATAAAATACTCAACTGTTTAACTCTATAGTCGAGTTGTAAAATGAGCCTTTTCCTAAAGAAGTGGAGTGTGCCTTTAAAAATCAGTGGTTTACCAATATTCCACACAATGTATGTCATTTTTTTTTTTACATTTTCGACAACTGCTAATAACTTTTTCTGTCAGTATGCTCCATGCTTTTATACTGAAAACGCAGTTGTGATAGTATAATTTTACAGTTAATGACATTATTTTCACATTTTGCTGAACTGTCGCTTTAAGACAAAGAAATGCGCCGCTAAACAGCGCGAGAGATGCATCCACCTTCTGATCTGCTCTCGGTATAACCTTTAGGGTCAAGCAAGGTGCAAATGATTCAGGGGGACATTGAAATGTAAACCACAGTCCTAAAATCTTCAGCGCTCAGACATCTCTCTCTCTCCCCTCCGTCCTCTCGGGACATTAGGCAATAGACTTGTTTACCTCACCTTTCACCACATTGACTGGTGAATTATTCATTGGCATGTACTGAGGTGGGAGTGGAGGAGAGAAAAAGAGAGAGAGCGCGAGACAGAAAAGTAGAAAGAGAGACAGGGGAAGCTCACGGGGGAGGGATGGAGAAGGTTTATGTTCATCTCGGAAGGTAAATTGATTATGGAAAACCTTACCGGCCTCCATTCTCTCGAGTCTGGAGTTGTAGAAGGAGGGGGTCGCGACTCGCGCGGCTCACAGGTGCCGAAGTGAGATGTTTAGCCCAGATAATGGAGTTCTTCTCAAGGCAGGTCTTGATGAAGCACTCATCCATCTGCAAACTCTTCAAAAAGAAGCCGCGGCAAACTTAGCGAACACCCACCAGCCTCTCACGCCCTCAGCGCCGCCATCTGAGAATCACATGCTTATTGAAGTAACTCTCGCACAAGACATGATGTGATTTATAAGTTGAAGTCATACGTAATTTATTTTCTGCTGTCAAAACAAAATTCTCTGATAAAAATGGTAAGCAGTCAGAGTGTGTTAGATGTTTAATTTAAAACTTTGCGTTGCGCGATAGGAATAAAGACTGCACCAGAAGTAATTCATTGTTTTTTGGTGTTTTCATTTACAAAAACAATAAATTAAAGTGTTAGTTCACCCATAAAATTATGTCATTAATTAGTCACCCTTGTGTCATTCCAAACCCCTGAGATCTTTGTTTGTTTGTCTACGGAACACAAATTATGATATTTTTAAGAAATTTGAGAGCTCCCTCATTGTCCATAGACAGCAAGGTTCCAAACTTAGGCACATAAACTCATTGTGTGCACATAAAACAAAAATAATGACTTTATTCAACAGTTTCTTCGTCTCATGATCAGTGTAAGTACAAGAGTGTGCCCTATACTGACACCGAGGTTAGAAATCTGTTGAATGAAGCCATTATTTTTGTTTCATGTGTGCACAAAATTATTCTTGTGGCTTGATAGTTATGTAAATATTCAGAGAATCACATGCTTATTGAAGTGACTCTCGCACTAGACATGATGTGATTTATAAGTTTAGGGCATACATCATTCACTTTCTGCTGTCAAAACAAAACGCTCTGGTAAAAATGGTAAGCAGTCAATGTTTAATTTAGGCTTTGACGTTGCGTGATTAGAATATTGAATGCAACAGTAGTAATTTGATGTTTTTCTTTTTTGTTTTTTTACAAAAACAATTTATTAAAGTGTTAGTTCACTCATAAATTAAAACTTTGTTATTAATTAGTCATCCTCTTGTCATTCTAAACCTCTTGGACCTTCGTTCATTTGTCTACGGAACCCAAATTATGATATTTTAGGTAAAATTTGAGAGCTCCTTCATCCTCCATTAAAAGCAAGGTTCCCGACTTGTGCACATAAACTCATCGTTTGCACATAAAACAAAAATAATGACTTTTTTTAAACAGTCTCTTCTCCTCATTGTCAGTATAAGTACAAGAACGAGCCCTATACTGACACTGAGGAGAAGAATTGGTTGAATAAAGTCATTACTTTTGTTTTATGTGTGCACACAAAAAAAAAAAAAATCTTAGCTTGATAGTTATGTAAATATTTGGAGAATCACGTTTATTGAAGTAAAATTAAGATATTCTTGGTGAAATTTAAGAGCTTCCTCATCCTCCATAGACAGCAAGGTACCTGAATTGTTCAAGTCCAGAAAAATACAAAAAAGCATCCTCCAAACAGTCTGTATGCCTTCAGTGATTAAAGCG